GGGCAGGGGAAGAGAGAGAATGCTATTACATCATAGATTTAAGACTGAACTAATCCAAGTAGTACCATAAAGAAAGATTTTCCAAATGATGCATTAAGGAAAACTGCTCACTATAAAAAAAATTTTTAAAAAACAATACATATGGTGATAATCCAGGGCAACGTTGAACCTTTAATTTGCACCATGTATTTAGTACAGTCTTATCTATCTCTCCAATGATAAGATCCAATTTTGGAAACCAAAGTTAATTAACTAAAGGGCATTTTTAATTCATCTTTTGCTGGCCTTGTGACTATATACAATAAAACCCAGTAGACTCTCATTATCAATTTAGATGCATAATAATATAAATTAATTTTTGATAATGTTATACCCCCAAGTAATTCAGATTTAAATAATGTCTTTCCAGCATCTATTGGAGGTTTACCATTCTACATGAATGTTAAGAGTAACTTTCTGCCATAATTGCAAAATAGCTAAATTGTGCCTCACTGGTAGATTCTGAAAGGGGGGAGAATATTTTAGGTAATAGATTCATTTTTATCAAAGCTATTTTACCTGACTAAGATAAAAGGATACCTTTATCTTGTCTAGTGACCTAAATCTTTCATTGTTTCTTTTAATAATTTCTGATCAATGTCCTGAGCTCCCAGATTACATTTTCTTTGAAGTGAAATTCCTGGATATTTAATTGGTTTATTTATAACAAGGAGAGAATATTTTGTAACAATGCTATGCACAGCTGGTTTTCTATAGATTAATACCAAACCACTCAAATTAGGTTACGGTTGCTATTATAGTACAAAATTATACTGTAATTATTATATGATATAATATTTGAAGGAAATGGGAAATGATTCTTCTGGATTTCTTCTTGTATATCATTTGCACAGAGAACCTGTTCACACATTTCACTAACTATGGCTTAGTACAAACTCATGAGCGTGAGGGCTCCAAGAGAGACAATTTGCTCCTCCTGGGTCTCCCTCCTGCTGAGACAGAGATATGTGGCTTGCAACTATGCTATTTACTGGGTGCTCTGAGCAAATCCAGAGGCAAAGTAAGCCTCTGCCCCACACCTCTAGATCCAAGCTGCAGGGAGCAGCGGAAGCTTGTTTCTGCATTGCACAGAATCGTCCACCACTTCCCCTAAGCAGAGGCTTGACAACCATATGTCAGGAGTGCTCTGATGGTGTTTCCTGCTTGGCAGGGGGTTGGACTCGATGGCCCTTGTGGTCTATTCCAACTCTATGATTCTATGATTCCCCAGATACAATCTTGGACCTGGAGAGAAGGGTACGGGATTGTTTGTGACCTCCCACTGCATTTTAGAGGAGCCGGAGCTGCTTGAGACAAGACCCTGTTCCTTGTGGAAAGAGAAAGACCCTGGCAGACACACATTTGTGGTTGGTCACAAAGGCCGGTCAGAATTTGAAGACCCTTCAAAAGGATGTCTGGACAAAGATCCCAAGGCAGAAGGCAGGCATTCTGTATGACAATGAATTTTGACATGGACATACTAAACATAGAGCACACAGGAACCATTAAACCTGTATTTCAGAAGTGGTTTACTTTTATTTTCCACACAATAAAAGTGACCATTGAGTATAGCAGGCTATATAAGGTATTTATATACCCTTTGGACCCCTGACCATTAGGTCCAGTCATGACCGACTCTGGGGTTGCGGTGCTCATCTCACTTTATTGGCCGAGGGAGCCGGCATACAGCTTCCGGGTCATGTGGCCAGCATGACTAAGCCGCTTCTGGCAAACCGGAGCAGCGCACGGAAACGCCGTTTACCCTTCCACCGGAGTGGTACCTATTTATCTACTTGCACTTTGACATGCTTTCGAACTGCTAGGTTGGCAGGAGCAGGGACCAAGCAATGGGAGCTCACCCCGTCGTGGGGATTCGAACCGCCGACCTTCTGATCGGCAAGTCCTAGGCTCTGTGGTTTAACCCACAATGCCACCCGCGTCCCTAGCAGGCTATATATCTTGTTGTTATTATTACAACAATATTTATTATGACAGCATTATTATTATAACAGCAGCAGCTGCCCATTCAGTGACCCTGAAACACAGTTAAAAAAACTGATGTCAGAACTGCACTTCCAAGGACTTGTGGAATTTCCTCAATAGCGCTGTAATGTTCAAATTGACCCTGCTCAAGCTGAAGGTCCTGAATACCACCAGCAGCCATTCACTTAGTATCCTGTTTTGTTTCTAAATACCTGACACGGAGATGTGGATGATAGATGAACTGCAATGCCCTTCACTCTGAATACCTTGATCTTTACAGTGACAAATGCCACGTTTAGCAGCTTGGGGATGACATCGGCAATTGGTTTTACTGAGCACAGGAAGAAGAATATACAAAAAAATAAAAGCTCCCCGGTTTTTATGAAAAACTAATGGGTTGCCTGTTCCTGCCCTCCCACCCTATATGCAGCCCTATTCATCTTTGCCTAAAACCTGAAAACATAACACTTCCCCCAATGGCAGCACCAGTAATGTTGCCACTGAGAAGTGTTTCTTGGCTGACCTGAGAGTCTGCTCTCAGATTATAATGTCCATTCAGACTGAAATATATTATTTTTCCTCACCACAATGTCTTGACCTGATTTATGCAGCCTTTATAGCGCCATTATGTGCAAAACATAAGCTCCATTGACAGCAAAAACATTGCAAAGATGGCAGAGATAGCAGCTGCAATTCACCACAGGAGTCAAGGCCAAGCCGTCGAAAAAGGCTTGAACTTGTGTTCCACAACAATGTAATACATTTTCTATCCATGACTGAAATGAAGATAGCATACCTATGCTCCTATGCACTGGAATCTCATGTCTTTTGTCTTTTTTTCTGATCCTCTCTCAACCCCCTCCTTCTTGGGCTTTGGAGTTTGTTTCCCCTTATTCCTCCAAACAAGGAGGGATGATCTAGTTAGCACAGCCCTTCCTTACGAGCTTTGCTTCTTTTGTTTAAAGAAAGGTGCAAGGTTTTTCCCGTTAACATCATGATTTTAATTTAATTTGGCTCTTAACAGAAGTTGGCTTAAAACATCACTTGTTACTTAGCTACTTCCAAAATCAGAGTCACGTGAGGAAACGGAGGGAGTTTGCTATTGCCCCTGTCTGCCTAGCCCAATTCCCCTGCCCTCAATGATCCTTTCTGCAGTGAAGGGAGCTGTACCTTTGCTATAGAGGGGTAACTTTGCTCCTCTGCAAATTCTCACAGATTCCCAACTAGGGCTGGTGAAGATTCCTTTGCCCTATTTTTTATGCCCCCAGCCTCTTTCCGTGGCAGCCAAGCACAACACAGCACTCACTATCTGAAAGGTCCCCCTTACCCTCTGGAGAGACTTTGTGGCAGGCACAGGGACTACAGAGGGACAAAGGGGAAGAGAAAATTCTGTAAGTTGCCTTCTCTGGATACAACCAATGAATTCACACTTTCATCAGTTTTGCTTTTGTTTTTTAATTTGGGAGGTGGCAGACTATTGATGAGGAAATGCAACACTTTAGCTAAGCTTTACTTTTTTCTTTACAGCCAAGCAACATTAAAGCATAACACATCGTGGTTTATTATCTTTGGGAGCAGGGGCTGTCATTCAGCAGCATCAGCAGCAACTACCACTTGTACCTGGAATACATAGCTAAATGAATACCGGATCATTCACAAGAGGGACAGTCTTATAGCAGCATTTAGTCTTACCTCCCAAGTCCCCAGGGAAGGCTGCTGTAAGAAAATTATTACTTTGTCACAGCACCACATGCCATTGTACCTAGTCAGCCATTAACTAAAAAAAATAAAAATACTCAGGAATGAATGATTTCTATACCACATTCATCATTCTTGGGGGCAGGGAGAGAGAGAACTCCCCTATTTATCAAGTATGAAAAGCAGTTGATAAGATATATTTGATATACAGTGACATTTGCTTTTAATCAATTTAAAGTGAAATTGCTGATGGATAGGTGGACTTGTCAAAACATAATACCCCTTCAATATATAATCCAAGATTACATTTATAAAATGCATGTTTGGTCCTTTCTCACCAAAGAGAGCAGAAAATGTGAAGGCAATTACTCTCCCAAGATAAAGGTAATCTCTTTCTCTTCCCCACCCCACCTCCTGAAGTCCTACTTACATCTTCGAGGAATTGCCAGGATTTTCTTTTACACCACAAAGCTTAAAATCCTGGCACAGAATCATAATTGCTTTATAGGTCATTTAATTTTCCAAGTACATTCAATCAAAGACCCTAAATACTAAAACTCTGCCTCAGTAAAGTGAGCATTATGATTCTGAGTGTTCTCTTTACAGATGAAGATCGGAAAATGGCCATATCATCTGCATGGCACTCATTTTATCTCCATCGCTCGGAACTCATAGTTATCTTTTTCCCCATTCCCCCCTTTCCTTTTTCTTTTTGCATGCAATGCAATACAAGACACACTTGTGTTCAGCAGCAGATCAAAAACCATGCTATACTTCATGCCGCTGGCTTTATTTAACACCACCGTCACTATAAATTTTACTCCTTTCAAGTCTGAGTGGGGGGGAAATGTACGCATAGAAGTGTGTCTTTGTGGTTTTGGATGCTGCCAGTGTGGTAAATGATGGTCTAAGCAGCCAGGGATAAATGCTGCATGAAGTACATTTCTAATATTAAACCAAGGTAAAAGGCAAGAAGAAACTTTTATGACACCCTGATGGAAATAATTCACATCCTTGCAATTCAGCTCCACATTAGGACAGAAAATAATTTATGTTATAAATTAGGAAGCAGGTTCTGTCATCCTCACCTTGGCCAGTGCAGTTAAACTTACAGGCAGGTTTTCTTATGGCTTAGAGTCAGCAAGATTTTCTTCTGAAAAGATCATGCTTTATTTCAAACAGACACCCTCGCCCCTCCATAGGTGGCTACACATAAGATAAAAGTGGAAGCGAAAATATAGGAGGCTATGATTCAATTAAAAACCTACACAATACATTACCTTCCGCCTCGGGCACTGAAAGGTACTACATGGATCCCCAAAGGGCCGCCGTCATTGGAGACTTCAACGAGCTTTACCATATCACTGTGAGACAATGATGAATGAGGGAACATGAACATGTGCCGTAAATGAACCAAAAAAAAGACCACACACACATAAACACAAACACAAACAAACACACACACACACACAAATATATTTGAGAATTGGTAGTGATGATAGGAGCACTGAATGTTACATACCTCAGTATTAATCTGATGGCATGAAAGGAGATCAATCATCAAAAATAATTCAGTTAATAAATCAAATGAAATGTGAACTAATGTTTTGGGTAAGCTTAATCCATTATATGAATTGTATTATGTTCAACAATGACAGGTGGGAGTTCAGATTGGCTTTTGCGTGGATTGAGAGTGAAGCCATTGTACTGTATGAAAACAGACAGTTCAAATGCAATTCCCCCTCCCCATAAAAATACAATCTATTATTTCTAATAAGTGTATTGTATGAAAGCAAATAGTTAAAATGCAATTTCCCCCTCCCCATAAAATACAATCTATTTTTTAATAGTTTGAAAAGGCCACATGCATGAATATATTTTTAAATATATATATTCCAAAACAGGCTAAGTGGTCAGGTGGATATATTCAATGGCACTGATATTCCATTTTGGATAAGCACTAACAATGACAGTAAAAGCATTCAGATAGAGTGAAAAACATGGTTTATGCTACCCATAGTTAAAAACTCACGACATGGTTTAAACTTCTACACACAGAACACACAAACCATAGTCATTTCCTGTCTGCTCAGCACTCAGCTTCCTGAGCTCACTCCTCTCCCCATGGTACAGCCAGCCCCTTGAGCTAGAACAATGGCTCTAACTATGGTTTGTCAATTCTCAGTGAATTTAGAAGTTACAGCAAACTGGAATCAGCATAAATTGTAGCTAGCAGATTCAACTGTAAACTTCAGTTTCTGTTTTGATGGTCTCAAACCAATTATTATTTATGGACATATTTTGTTTTGTGAGACACACCATCGAGTATCTTTGTAATTCACATATGACTTTCATCAAATATGCCCTTTGGAACTACCTGCCAGTAGAGATCCAGCACGCGTCATTCCTACCTTCATTTAGATGTTTCCCCAAACCCTGTGTTATTTAGACTGGCCTTTGCAATGATAAATTATTTTTTACTAACAAGTATTCATTTATGTTTTTACTAATGTTTTTACTGACATTCTTAATGTCCTTAATGTAAATTTTGTAGGCTAGACACGACATTCATGTATTTTTTTAGAGTGAAGTCTACAAATATTTCCATAATCAAAATATAACATAGGGATGCGTGGTGGTGGTGTTTTTAAAATGCTTTCACTTTCCTTCCCAATTTTCAGATTAATTTCAATATTTCCTTTTGAAACATTCATTTTCAATATATGCTTGTATGCCTCATTTGTCCTACATGTGCAATGTTGAAATGTCATTTTAAGTTGTGGAACTCCCCACAGAGGTGTGTCTGGTACCTTCATTATACAACTTTTGGCAAATGCTGAAGATACAGCTCTTTACCCTGGCTTTTGACACTTGAGATGTATATCTTTAGGATCCACCTTGTTTCTGTAATTGTGTTATTTAAAGCTCTTTTCAATATTGTGTTTTAATTTTTGTAACCCACCCTTGGGCTCTGGAGTGAAGGGTGGGTAATAAATTGTAATAGCAGCAACAGCAGCAGCAGCTGTGGCTATATGGAATCTTATTGGCTACACTAGTTTTCTGAAATATGGTGAAATCCTGATGTCATGTTTCAACAACTCATTGATTATATGCTATCATATTAGTCATTTAGACCCATGAGACCTGAGTTTCAAAAGCTATTGTCAGCCATGAAGGCAGCTTATTCAGAAAGGGGTGTCAAATTAGCAACGGATTCCCCACCCAACAAAACAGGGTCTACTGACTAAATGAGAACAGCTCTCTGGTTATACCATTCATGTAGGAATTGTATTTAAACCGGATACTGGGGGAAAGGCAAACATGTTAATTACTATGATTTTCTATGAAATTGTCTTTATAATTCATATTTTATTTGTAACAGAGTTGTTCTAAGAGAGTAGCAATACTATATTCCATTAAATAGAACAATTAACAAATGTAAAAAAAACTATACCCAATATCACATTCTGGATGATCTAAAAGTCCAAGAGTGTTTAATGCATGTTTCACTTGAATAACAGCCCCATCACTTCCAAAGCAGCTTATGAGATGTCAGAGTAAGAGGAAATTTAGGGGGTGAGGGTCAGCTGTTCTAAAGACACACATTTTACTGGGATAAGACAGGAAGTTGCCTTATGCAGAGTCCACCATGGATCCATCAATACAGTCTACAGGAACTGATAGAAGCTCTACACGGTTTCAGACAGGAGTCTTTCCCACCCTGAACTAGGGAATGAACATGGGAGTTTTCTGCATTTTATAGTGCAACTTCATGAGTACCTGGCAATATAAGTGGAAGCAACACAGCAGGGAAAAATTAAAGAGAACAGCCAAATTGATTTTTCATTACTTGTTGAGTGATTGCGCTCGCTCGCTCTCTCTCTCTCTCTCTCTCTCTCTCTCTCTCTCTCTCTCTTTTTCTGCGTAACTTGAATAAGCCAATATTCTCTTGCCATGGTAAAAATGGGCACATCCAAAGATAATGATGTATATCTTTTAACAGATTCTTCCCACATAAAAATTGGTTATCTGAATAAAGACTCCAGATCTACCTTACACATAACTCTTAGTGAAGGCAACAATACAACTTTTTTCACAAAATGGCTTTTCTTTTTGGCCAATGCTCCCTGATTAAAAAAAAAAAAATTCAATGTGTTTAGTGATGCTCTAAATCTACCCAGGGCTTTTATGCTTAGAGGTCTTGTGCTAATAAATAAATAAATAAGTAAATAAATACAAGCAACTCCCCATTTGTGCCCTCTCCCAGGTCAAAAACAACTTGCACGTTGGCAGTCACATAACAATTGAATGGATGCAAAATGGCCGCCACCTGTACTGGGATCTTATAAATTCAGGCCTTTATTAAATGCTGTGAAAGTCTTTATTAAATGTTGTTACTCTCCCCCAGCCCCAAAGATCCTGGGAACTGTAATTTGTTAAGGGTTCTAATGAGACTCCCTATTCCTCTCCCAGAACTAGAATCCCCAGAGTGGTTTAAAAACCAATCCATTTTCCCAGAGAACTCTGGGAATTGAAGCTCTTTGAGGAGAATGGGGGGTCTCCTAACAACCCTCACTACCCTTAACAAATTACAGTTCCCAGAATTCTTTTGGGGAACCTATGACTGTTAAAAAGTGGTATGATACTGTTTAAAATGTATAGAGTGGATTTGAACAACAATATAATTTAAGTGTAGCAGCTTAAGTGTTGCTACTGTATGTATATCTTTGGTGTTATAATTAAACATGCAATTCTATTAATAAACTTACTCTAAAGAATAGTTGCCAGCATTCTCCAGGCCAGCATCTGCATGCCCGACTGGTTCAACTCTGCTATTTTCCTCTTCTGTTCCATCTTCATCCTGGTCAGAACAAAAGTGACAGTACCACATAAGCATTTGAATTACCTTTGGATATCAAAATTTATTCCAGAATTGCTTCCTCACCCCATCCCACAAGAAATATCAAAATTAACTTGATATAACTATTTGTATTCAGCAGTAATGAAGAAAGGTTTATAGTCAAGTATGCAATATTTGAAATTGCTCCACAAAGTGCTATTCTTAATATAAAGGAAAGTTTATTTAAAAAGTCAAATGAATACATTTGATAAATGAAGCAACACAGTGAGCTTTAATCTTAATTTACAATAAGTGACACTTATCATTTCATTATTAATTATATTTATTAGATGCTCTTTTCATAAGAATAATTCAGTGACATACAATTTTTTTAAAGAGTGTAAAAACAAGAACAACCTAAAATAACACACACACAAACACACACACATTGCATGTTCTGCACATAGTGAAGAAAGCACACAGCTCTGAGATTTCTCCCCAGGCCCCATTCAGGTGTAGACCCGTCACACTGATAAAATACAGAAAGATCAGAAACAAAGGAGATGGTTTTAAATGCTCATGGTTGTGCTAGGCAAATAGGGCATTTCTGGATAATGGCCAGAATTTTTGTAGATTACTTCAGCAGTCATTTCTAATAAACAGTTTTGAGGACTGATATGTTCAAGGTGGTAAAACATATAGCAAGGGAGTATGGGACAGCTTATACAGTCAGTGACCATTTCGTGTAGTGGTTCCATTCCTGGCCACAAACACGTTGGCAGAGCATGTATACGTGTGCCCTGCACCTTTCCGTTCTGCCCCCATGCCACCCTTTGAGTGACATGTTTAGTGCATTAATCAGTTGTTGCCTATATACTGATTGCAAACATACTGGTTTTCCTATGGTGGGGTGATGAAAGTGTGGCCCTTTCAGATGTTGCTGGACCACAACTCCCATCATCCCTGAGCATTGTTCATATTGCCTGGGGCTGGTGGAAGTCCAACAACATCTGAAGGTTCAAAGGTTCCCCACACAGGCCTAGACTCTCGTTCCCTTGCTCATAAACATGGAAGGAAACACTGCAACTATCACAAACAGGAGACTCATCGAAGACCTATATTTGCGGCCTGTATTTTTAAGTCCCTCACCATGCCCCCAATACAAATGCCCATGCTTCAGGCTCCTTGAAGAAATCCTACAGAATTTGCTGCTTGCTGAATAACTACTCTGCAGAACACAATGCAATAGAAGTCCAACTCTCTTGATGAAGTTTGTTTAAGTGGTTTGGAAACTACCAATTTAACAGTTACCACAAAGGCACATCTTCCATAGCCAACACACTGTGGTTGTTGTGCCCCGACATAAATACCAATTTATGTTGGGGCACAACATTAAACTCTGGAGCCACAGGAAGATGGAGGAAGAGCAATTAAGCAATTTCCAGAACTGTTTTTGGATTCTAAAACAACTTTAAAGGGTATTAAGTTGGTTTACCTAAATGGAAATTTAAACTGTTGCTACATATACATACTCCATTTTAATCCTAAAACCATGCATGCAGTAGCTACTAGTTCATCCGTTTATGGGACTTTTCATTAGAAGAGGAGGAGCCCCAGCATTGTTAGCTCTGCAACTTTCACAGACATTTGTGTTTCTTTCATTCCTCCCATGTACAAACACACAGACACACAAAAAACTATTGTAATGTAGCCAGCAGATTTCAGAGCGCAGATTTTAGATTCTACACACTGAGGCATCAATCAGCAAAATAATAAGTGGTGGGTGAAGGGTTATGAGTTCAGCGCAGAGAGAGTCAGACAATATATTAAATTATTGAAGAGATATTAAAGCAAGGCAGAGGCAGCTGGTAATGTCCAATTGACATTTCCTCTGAGAGTCTGCAAAAATAAGGAGCTGGATGCACCAAGCTTTCTCTCTGAGTTGTAGATGCTTTGTGCACGCGCTGGATGGAAGCTCGCTGCGTGAGACGAAGCTCCTTGAAGATTGATGATCCTGTGTTTTGAGAGGCTCTAATATGCACTTCTTAGTCATCTATCTCTCTTAAGCACCAGGCAAGTAATACATTTCAAAGGTTAACCAGCATCTTGAACTTGCTTAAGACTGCATTAGGAACATAAACACAAACTCCAAATAAGATGTGGGTGTTATTTATTTATTTTAAAAGGTGTTCAAATATATAAAGAGTTGAATCTTCCAGCAACATGTTAGCAATCATAAGTGATTTCAGATGTATTGATTTTAGCGTGTGTGAGTTAAAATTTGCTCCACGGAGCATAACTGAAAACATAAATATTTAAGGATACTAGACAAAACCTCACCAGTGCAGGCTATATACTCTCTTCCCTATGAATACAAAGGAGATGGCTGCGATCCAAAGATACCTGCTTATCTATGGGAAAGCAGAGAGTTTTCCCTTCAAACAGCACGTCCCTCACATCTCATGGAAAACTACTCTGGAGTGGCTTCTCGCCTTCAGTGGCGGATACTTAAGGGTGCTGCTAGAATGACTTGAGACACTAAAATGTGTATTTATTTATTACATCTATACTCCACCTTTCTTCCAAAGAGCTTCAAGCAACAGACATGGTTCTCCCCCTCCCAAATTTATAATCACAAGAACCCTGTGATGTAGGGTCAGGCTAACTGACAGAGAATGGCCCATGGTCATGCAGTGAGCTTCACGGCTGGGTGGGGATATAAACCCTACTTTAGCACTGCAACCACTGCACAACCACTGGTTATCCTGTGGAGAGATGATATTAAAATCATGGGATTAGTGAAGTCATCTGCAGTGCTCACGGGAGCAAAAAAGTTGGGCAGCAGTATTCCACTCTAGTTGCAGTTTCATGAGGATACGCCCATGCAGAGTCCACTGCAATAGTTCAACAAGATGTTACGAAGGCTTCCCCCACTGTGGCCAAGCTATCATTGTCCAGGAACAGACATAACTGAAACTTTAAGAAAAGCACTGAAGGCCACTAAGGACACCTTTGCCTCCAGTGATAGTGATGGATCTAGGAGTAACCCCAGGCTATAGACTTGTTCCTTCAGGGAGAGTACAAACCCATCAAGAACAGGCAAGATTCCAATTTCCTGAACCTGAGAACCACCCACCCATGAGGCTTCTGTTTTACCAGGATTCAGCTGGAGATTGCATGGAATCCCAAAATGAGAGTAAGATAGAGAGAGAGAACATTTGACAGAGGTCCATTTTTCTCATGGCATCTAGATCTAGACTAGCAGATCTATGAACAATTGATGAAGAGTCCAGGAAACCTGGCCCCTGCTTCTGCACTTTCTCAATCCTGCAAATATTCACAAGGAAGATTTGTAAAGGGCCCTCCATTTTAACAGGTCTTCTGGGAAGTGCCTTGATTTTAATGTTGTAGCTATGCACAGCACATTATGTTGTTCCCTACTGCAGTTAGTGTAGTTTGTTTTTAAATTAATTAACAGGGTTTTATTTTTATCTACATTGATTTTCTTTCCCTCTGCTGTTTCAGCACCCTTCTAACCTATATTAATAAAGCTGGATAAAAAAATAAAATAACACACACTTATTTAAGAGGATGTACAAAATATATTTGGACATTTGAAAAATGTCCTGTCTTCCAGGAAGCCATAAGTTGGAGCTGGTGATGGTGGTGTTTGGAGACCTGTTTTCCCTGAAGTTTTAAAACTCTAAGGAAACAGAATAGTGTTTGGAAGTTGAGTCTGGTAATCCTGTGAGGCTTAAAATTTGTCTCTCAGTTATGATCCTTAAGAGTAAAAGAAGCTTGTAAACTTCACTAGAGCATTGATATCATGATGCTATAATCAACAGATGTGTCTTTTAAAAAAAATCACAAAAAACTTTAATATTGCCGTAATCAGCTACTCTTTTATTTCCCATGTAACATAGACTTTCTTTTACATAGAACCAAACATAGAGTAATTTGGACACCTGCATAGGGAAGTAACTTAGAATTCTCATTTGCTAAAAAAAGCATCTAGCTTCGAAAGTATCTGCAATTATTGCCATGAGTTTCTTCTTAAATTAAAAACCCCACCTGTTACTGAGGTAAAATTAGAAAATGCTATACTTTATTTAGGGGTTTGAGAAAGTTCCAGAATCAATGATACAGCAATTTTAAGCAACACATTTGGTACAATTATAGTTTTCATTAAAGTATGTACAAATCTACATTTTCATAGGCGCATGTACTGAATTACATATTATTAGGAACTACTGTACCAACTTTTTTGCAAGGATGCAGAATTTTCAATATAATTTCAGAGTCATATGTTAACAGCATAGTAGGCTAAAAAACACACCTGGTTCTTGTATGTCACCTCTCTTCCTCATTGGCTAAGCAATGATTGATTCTATTAAATATCCATGAACAGTCCAACACTGAGATTTACTTGATTCAATTTATATCATACCTTCCCAAAGGCAAATTATAATCTTGAGCCCTAGACATTTTGCTGCCTAAAATGAAGGATAACTCCACATACAGAAGTCAGACAGATAAGCCACTGGATCCCTCTGCCATTTGGATCACAACTTCCACAACTTCAGAGAGCACCTGACTAGTTTAGGGAATGCAGAGCAGCTTGCACGGCTCATGCAACAATCCCTTTTCCCCAACAGCTTGCTGCCATTGACTGTGCTCACTTTGCTCACTGCCCATCCAATCAAATGCTGCAATGCAGCAGTCACCGTGCCAGTGTGTGTCATGTAAGCAGAGCAACTCATGCAATGTGCATGATGCCTGCTGTAGTGCATGGCCTATGCTGGCTTTGTTGTCCCTCTGCCTGCTCACTCAGTCACGGGCTTCTGCTGTAGTGCTGTCTTTGGCATACTGACAGAATGTGAGCAAGACAGAAAGGCCAGCGACAACCAAGCATCTCCGCTATCTCATTCTACCTAATGTTAGGGTCAGTCCAGGGAATAACCTGAAAGAGGGCATGGCTGGCTGGCTAGCTCCATTAAGAGAAAGACTCTACACAGCAATGT